AAAAAGTTACCCATTTATTTTTTTTATTCCCTAATTGGGAATTAGCTTGTCTTCTAATATTTTTTACTGGAAAATTGCAGAAATCGTTGAGGCGGTTTCATATTGTACTGCGGGGCTTGGGGAATCCTGGTGTTTCGCCAAGGTACCTAGGTCTGCAACAGCACATTTCTACTTCTTCCACTTTGGGGTATGTTAGCATTCGAGTGGGTTCAGTGTGTGCGTTCAAGACTAGTTTAAGCTTGTTATTTTTAATAACAAAAATCCTTGGTTTGACCATTTTAACGTTTAGTTCTATTTTGGAAAGTTGGAGCATGTTTCAAAGTTTTGAAGATAATTTAACCAAGCATCCTTGTTAAAAAAAAAATATAAATCATATATGAGCGTCGTTACAGCTTTTTCTCGAACACAAAATTGAAGGTTACAAAGTTTTTTTAAAAGGCCTGTTTTCTAAGCTACTTTGTAATATCTGTTTCAATGCCCTATTTAAAGGATTCGATGTTTTCGTTTCTATTTTCAGTATAAAATAGATTAAAATAAAATAGTATAGATAATATAAATAATAGGTAAAATAGTATAAAATAGAAAGCACGTTTAAACATGTAAAACATTCTCCAAATCAAAAATTACAAAACAAGTTTGCTTTTATTACGTATAGTACAAGGATAATTGATCTGGTTTACTCCCGCACAAAAAGCGTTTGAACTCACCGAGCAGTGTTTAACATATGTAATATATAGCCACGCGTTCCCCCTTTCGCATTTTTAGTAGCTGAACTTTGATACTTCACATCCCCGCACTACTCTTTTGGGGAGTCTCAATACAGAGAATTACGGGCCATAATCAAACAATTTAAAGTATCAATTTGCACTCCGAGTTATTTCGAGGTTTTATTAAAATCATCCTGCTTTGTGATATGCCTTGTGCTTTGTTTCCTCCGCTTATAATGTTATTCTACAACAACCTGCCCCACATCGGTACATGTTTACTTTTCGTCGTGCAGCACTTGCCGTAAAACAAGCACAATATGAAAAATTAATGATACATTATGTTTGACAAAGGCTTTTCTAAAAAAAAAAAAAAAATTCACCCTTTGCAATAACGCGTTTTGGCGATATAAGTGTCTTTGCACATATATGCATATAAAAACATCATTGCTGCCCACACGTGACTACTACTACGAGGTAATATTCAACGAAGCCCATATTTCGACAGATACAACGGCGAATTTTGTTAAAAAGCAACAACGCAAAAAAAAAACGATGCGGCAGAAACTTAACCTAGAAGGGATATTGGCGAAAGCACTTGCTTAAAATGAGCCAATATTGCACGGCCAAAGGTATCAAAAAGGTATGCATAACGGCGTGCATTATTAAAGCTCAAAAATGGTAGAGAGTCGCTGTACCCAAAAATAAATTGAGTTTTTGTTTTTATTATGGCGTTTATTTTATGCTGATACGTACGAGGTCACCATCAGGATATGAAAACAAACAATATAATCGTGTAATGGTCGTATAAGCCGATGCCCGCCGCATGTATTCTCAATATATTTCGAAACTAAATATTGCAGCGACTCTGCCTTGTGGATTTTGTAAGATCTCTAAATTTTGCCTTCGACAGTCTCCGAGATACATGTAACGCAAAGGTATTCTTCGACTCTTTTAGTCGCTCGGTTACTCAACAAGAATGGTGTTATTATTATGTTTTTTGTTTGCCAGTTTCACAATGAATTATTACTAGGTGGTTGTGATTTTCGAAACATTATATATATATTTACCTCGGCGACTCAGTTTCTAGTGAGATGTGTGCATGTGGCATGTAATTTTTTTTTCTTCCCGATGGTTACAAAGTAAAAACAAAAATGTACATGTTTAATGAAATGAATGGAAGTGCGTAAACGAGCTTTTATGTATTCAAGATGACGAAAACCCCGAGATTGCGGATGAAAAAGCTACATAGACGCTGAGAGGTCTCGCTGGTATCTTTTAAACTTGAAACCTTTTAGTGTTCGGGTTATTTTTTTGCTGGCAGTCTTTTTTTTTTTTTTGACGAATGCAACGGCCGAGCGATGCGTGGTGGACCGGCAATCTTTGAGGAACATTTCTGTGATCCGATTGCAGATGCACAGCGCGACACTAATAGCGCGAACACGACTTCGTCGCTCTTTTGCATTTCAATTTAAAGGGGCACTGGAGGGCATTAACGTTTACCGCTTCGATTAGCCCCTAAATTGAGCGTTCTCCAACGCAACAGTAGTTTTGATGACGGTCCTCCGATACTGAGAGGAAGACAGAAAACCGGCGATGGCTTGTTCGCACTGACAGTGTCGCGGAGCATACGTGATGAACATTAAAAGAGAACATTGGGTGTGTCATTTTATATAGACATGCCTTTCTTTTAACAATTCTTTTTTTTTTTCGTTACGTTTGCGTTTATCTGAATGTTACGATTTCTTTAAATATTTTTTTTTCAATACTGGGAAGTTTTTTGGTAACGTCTCCAAAAGGCGGCCTCTCCTCAACAAGACCCATATTGCAGTGAAGCACCTCTGCTACTGAAGACCTGAGGAAGAGAATTCGTTCCCGCCTTTGGGCCTAGAGTGTAATGTATTTTCCACCCAGAGTCTTTATGGCGCTCCAAACGACCCTCGCATTTATCTAGAGGCACCTCTCTAAAGTTACCCGTTTTATGTTGCTCCTGTTTTTGCTTCACTAATGACATCCCGTTTCTTACTTCTCCGGATCACCCTGATGAATATTCGTTGGCTTCATTAAATTCCTTTGTATAAAGATACCCTGGCTGCCTATTTTAGAGCGTCTTTTTCTTTTTTTCTTCCTTTAGTGTCTCGAGGTCCTGAGGGCACATTAAAGTATTAAATAAATACACCGGACGCCTGCACGCAGTATTCTCTCTAAAGCCTGAAGCCATGTGTCGAGAACCATTCCATGTCTTCGTTCGTTGCATCATACAACGAGGTATAACTTCAGCGATTTGCGTATTTTTATGATAGTAACATTCTAACATAAACAGTAATTAGGATGTCATTCTATTGTAAAATAAATAAAGCTATTCAAGATTATGAACACTGTAGAGTGCCTTCAACCTGCAGCGCCGCATGTGGATATTTTCATATCAACTCTTATTTCACTCAGCTTTCTACTCAGCTGTAGGACACCCATTACAAGGTAATTGAAAGAAAATGCAAGCTCGCTTTTTATTTTTCTATTAGATGCCGCAGCACAATTCAAAAAGAACTTAAATACTAAATAAAGCGAAGAACTAAACAAAGAATATTAGCGCAAACAAAACAAACGTATAAATATTATCAGCTAAACTTTCTTGAAAGAGGGTGCTCTGTAACCAGCTCCTTGAAAATCGTGGCAAATCTAAGCGTTACTGCGCGGGTATAGTTACAGTAGGTATGTTGCGTTTTACTCTCGACTCATATTAGCATCGTCGGTGTGATATAAGGCATCATTGCTATGTGGAGTTGTTAAAGGAACCCAATGGATCCATTTCTTTGGTACGTCTCAAGCGTTTTTTAGGTGCTTCCAGTACTCGATAGGCACTAACAATAAACACAATTCACTCCACTCTTTAAGCTGAATGCACCACGGTCATCTGCATTAAGAGAAAATTATTAGTACAGTTTATTTTTTAAGTGTCTCTAAACGAATACAAACAGAGAAGTGAATCAGAAGTATAGTTAAACAGAGCTATAAATTCTATCCGAAAAGTCAGGACCGAACTAATGTTGGTGAAACTTCACACAGCCACTGTGAATGCTTTTCGAGTTTATGCTTCTTTGGCAACCACCAACTCACTCTTACAGCTCCCACAAATTATGTCAGACTGTATCAAACAATCTATTTGAGAACTTTACAACTTGCATACTCACTTCCTGGTGACAAATACCACTTTTTAAATTTCATACCTACAGACACCACGAAGACGGTCAGTGTAAAGTAATTATATTCTCTTGATATTTGTGCTTTGAAAACTAGTATTCTACCTTTTGTCTAAACTATTCTGCTTTTGTCTAAACTATTCTGCCAAAACGGGAATGTGTACATTCTATTGCCGAGATCAGTTTACCTCAGTTGGCTGGATGATCGATAAGAATAAACCACACATAAGTAGCAATATATACCACATATGAAGGTAGACGAGAACCTTGTACAAATTTGGCGATGCTTCTGGCTCTCTTGAATTTTATGGCCACATCTGCCTGCCCCGTTATGTAAACAATTTGCAGGGTTGGCAAACGTTCCTTTCTACGGCGGTAAGCAATATCAAAACATAATTGCAAGCACACGGCACCACATAGAAGCCGTATTGAAATTTAAATTCATTTAATACTGCGTTCCCTGACATGCAGATTTACCAAAGTCGTAATGTTTCAATGCCAACTGCAACTGCAACATGATGCATAAGTCAAGCGCAGCTCGTTTCATCAATAGCTACTCCTTAGCTCACATCGAGTTCGCAACTCAGTGGAAAGATCTTTCGATACCTATCAAAGAGCACTCGCATTCAGAACTCCCAATAAAGAATTCTGATTAATATTAGATATGGCCAACGTTGCTTTTATCGGGCCTGCAATTACACGATTTCTACCCTCTAAATCTATGCGCGCGGTGCATGAAGTAACCCAATCCGATAACCCCGTTTGATAACCCCCTTTGCCAATCCCACGCGTTATCATCCCCCATTTCCGAAATCCCCGACTTTCAAGAACGACGCACAGGCACTCCCGTACTGGCTTCCCCCAATTTCGCAAGTGACGCTTGACCTTGTCCGACGAAGTAAAAACAAAAGCGGCTTTGTGCATTGTTTTAATATTGAATTCAGACAATTTGACACACCATTTTAATTTCAACACCAGAGTTGGGATAGTTAATTTAACGTAGCTTAAGAAAAGAGCTCGAAAAAAACTGAGAACTACAAGGAGCACCCAAAAAGAGCTCTGACTCAGACCTTCTGCACAAGAGAGCAAGAGAACAAGAGACGGGATAGATAACCAATAAAACAACTCGATAAAACATCTCCAGCATATCGGCAAGTGCCTATGCACACTTGCAGCACCTCTTGAAAAATTCCAACCGACGGGGAGCTAAGACACCTGCCCTCTTTATAACAGGCAATACAAAATAACTCATCAATTTCTGTCACTATCTTAGCTATCTCAATTAGCAAAGGTGATCAACGCGGTCGAAACACTGGCATAGTCGGGGAATTTGGGATCATGGCTCTTGACACTCGGGGCAAGCAAGAGAAAGATTTTGTCGACGGGGTTTTCTGCAGTCGGGAAAAAAAACCCGTGGCATTCGAGAGGGGAAACTGCCACGGGAGAACGTGCTAAAACCATTTATACCTATACCCACCTCTCAATAACGAGAGGATTTATGAATCACACGTCGTCCATGTGAGATAAAAATGCCCTTCTAAATTCAGCCGTGCCTATTTTTAGCCCAGCGACCCCGACCGACTACAGACGTGCACGACCGACGTCCCAAATATAAACGACAGAAAAAAGGAAAGGGTCGTCTCTCCATCCTTCAGCACATTCCCCTCCAACTCCAACATAATCTCGAAACCCGTTCTCACACCTCATCACCAACGCTTTCCTTCCCATCTGGGTCACCTCCCCCTTAAATAAAAAATAAACGCGTCGTTCTACCGAGCAGGGACAAAATGAAAATGCAAAGTATACAGAACAGCCGTCCAAACGACCCTGACTGTCGGCCCCATTTTTCGACCGCAGTGGCCGCCGCCGCCGGCGGTGACATCGCTAGCGTCCGTAGCGCCATCTCTGCGGATGTAGCGGCGGCTGGTCACCATGACGACCGCCAATAGGGGCTCGACGAGCGCGGGAGCTTTTCCCGGTTCGGGAAAGAGGGCAGCCCGGTCGCTGGCGAGCAGATGGGTTTTCTCCGGACGTAAATAAAGGAGACGGCACGCACCATCCCTCGTGGCTCCTTCCGGAAGCAAAGCGAAAGAAGAGGAGGGAGGAGGAGGACGAGGAGATGGAAGATGGAGAGCGGAGGACGGGAGGAGGGTGGCGGAAGATGGAATGCCGGGAAGGGGCCTCCACCGGCGCCGACATCCGAGCCCAAGTGCGCATGGCGATTGTGCCCGGGAGTCCGCGCCGCGGTGACGCCGGGTCGTTGGATCACCATTGAACACGCCCCGAGGATTTCGTGAGCGGGAACCCTGCTTAATTAAGATCATTCCTGACTCAAATCAAGAGGACCTCTTCACCTTTCGGGACTGTGTTTTCGGCGCTCCACGCTCGTACTGGCATGGTGAGCGGAATTTTCTGGTCGAGCGGATCGGGTTACAAGCGAGAGGTGTCTGCGGGATGGGTGGCTTGTGCAATTAGAAGAGCGTGAATATAGGTGGCCCGGTGACAGACGTGCACGTTTTAGTTGCACGGTATTTCCTGTCAGCGCGCCTTTAGCGAAAATATCAGATTTTGTGTTGTGAGGGATTGCATTTCAGGTACTCGCTGTTTCGAAGTCCGACACATCGGGAGAAATATTATGACGCGAAATTACTTCACGGACAAAATGCGTGCTCGCATCCAGATAGTTTTTTGCATTATATTTTGCTGTTTATGTAATAGAAAATACCTAATTTGTACCTGAGATGACGACTGTCTTGAATTAACAGGATAATTGTCACTAACGTATTTAGATACTTAGCATGCACTGCACCTTGTGGATAAACAAAAATGTAAGTGTTGTAAGGCAAACAAAATCGAGAAATTCGTGGTTCTTAACAAACAACAAATTATATGGTCTCACTGAAGCGATATTTCAGGTAAAAGCTTCTTACTTTCACAATTAAGCTGTGAATTCATCGCCTTGATACCGCTAACCAAAGTACTAGCAATAAGCTTGGTACTTAAATTCTTGGTAAATAAATTCATTAAAATGTGTAGAATAACGCTTAAAACACTTACAGCATATTCTCTCTTCGAACATTATACAAATCTTAAGGGTGATGGGAGTCCAAAAAATAAATCGGGTTTTGCAACAATGGGATGAACCTTAAAAAGTGTTAGTTCAAGACACACTGTCATTGGACAAATATAATTAACAAAATTATTAAATTTTTTTTAAATGACGTGTTGGCGCTAATTGTACCATTTCGCTAGCCCTCACTCGATTGTTTCCAAAAGTAACACAAATCAATTAGGACTACAGGATTCGGGCCCTCTTGTAACTTGCAGCCTCTCGATGCCGTTTCCTCGATGATTAACCACGACATTCGATGCGATGTCCTCCACCTTTTCACCAGGGAGTTGGCAGTCTTCAGGAAGCTAGAGATGTTACCTGGAACTGGTGTACTTCGTGACAGCCTTGGTGCCCTTAGACACCGCATGCTTTTCCGTTTCACCCGGCAGCAGGAGCCTCACAGCCGTCTGGATATCCCGGCTCGTGATGGCCGAGAGCTTGTTGTAGTGAGCCAGGCGGGACGACTCTGCTGCGATGCGCTCTAAGATGTCGTTCACGAAATTGTTTATGAATGACATGGCCTTTCTGGACACTCCGGTTTCGGGGTCGACCTATTAGAGCACCTTGTAGATGTAGACGCTGAAGCTCTCCTTCCTCATGCGCCTCTTCTTCTTCTTGTCGCTGGCACGCGCAATTTTCTGTGCCTTGCCCGCTTTCTTCACTCTTTTTTTCCGCTCGGTTGGGGAGGCATCCTCGCGCGACGTGTCTGCGACAGAAGACCGACGTTGATACAAGCGAAATGCCGACAAAACGACTCCTGGGGTCAGTCAAAGCCCAGTAGTCGTTTTTAATATTGACATCAAAGATTCGTGGTCCTTTTATCTTGCGGATACAATGTACCATGTTCTAGGAGCGTAAACGATAAACACAACTATCAGATAATTTGACGTCAGCATGTACAGCCCTGGAAGTAATGCACTCATGTCTCATTTTTATGGATTCCGTTAATATAGATGCCCCGCTATATTGAGGCCATTTTCGGAGGCAACCGGAGAAATTACATCAATTTTTGTCTCGTTATTATGAAAAACTCACACTGTGGCGATTTCTTGGGAGAACGGAGGTGTCCATATTAACGAGACATCCCTATACGAAGATAGTGCTACTGATAAACAAGGAAAAACAATTCCAGAAAAAAACGACGACCTATTCACATTATGCCATTTGTGTAGAGCTCATCCAAGCCTTCATTTTCTTTTTTTACATTTAACGTATACGTGTTTTAGCAATCACATTCATTTTATACATGCGACTCTTAAAAAGTACAAAACAAAGGTGTCGTATTCTTTAGTTGAAGTCAGGTTGAAAGGCATCCACATTAAGACATACAAAGACGGGCAGAGCTACCTGGTTGGAACGTAGCACCGCCAAGTGAATGTGTGCGCATTTTACGTGACCTTGGCGGCTAATAGGGGCTTTACGGAGATCGTGCTTCGAGAATTACAAAACCGTGCGAGAACGTGCTGTGTCCGTGTTCGAAGCGACGGCACGAGCTCCCGCTGGCTGCACAAAGATCTTGCATGCGATCTACGAAAAGTGCCTTTTCTGACAGTATGTGCACTCATGTATAGCAAGCAAACCAACGCGGCAACGTGGCCTTCCCTAGATTATCTTCACTGAGTAATTTTTGTTAGTACTGAGGTAGACGCAATTTTTATTCCTGTGCTTATTCCTGTGTTGAAAGTTTATATTAGTGAGGTGGCCTCGCAGTCATAGTAAAAGTTCTGAATAACAGATATTATCAATTCTTTTCTTTCGCGCAGGCCGTGGCCCTCCTTCCTTTTCTTCGGGTATATCCCCAGGCATGACGAGGGTTGATTGAGGTTATTTCCTTTCTGATGAGGTAACGAAGCTCGTTTAGAGTATTCGCCTCAGTGTGCTTTGTACAATTACTTTGCGAGTCGATCGAGACAGGTTTCTTGAGGTTTCCGGTTCAAACCAATTTTTGTGTGGATTGCCCGCAAATTTTCCCATTTGGAAGTCACATTCGTCTGACTTGTCTGATTATTGGCAAAAAAAAGTTACCGCTCAGAATGAAGCTGCCTAGAGGCTTTCAGTTACATTACCCATTATTTTCTTTATTTCGAAGTGAATAATAACTATGGGACACAACTTGAGCATATCTTTATTTCTAATACCAACCTTGGGAACATTGAAGCCGCATAAAACGAAGAGAATTTTTTTGCGTTTTAAAAGCATCGGCCGGGATGTCTTCTTTTTTTTGTGCGTCTGTATCTGGTGTAAAAGCCATAGTTTATATAAACCAGAACCAAGCTCCCACGATATTTTTGATGTTTTATCTCTATAGTTTTACATAATACCAGTTCCTGTCTCGCTCCAGTGGAAATAAATATATTGGCATACATCCTTAAATAAGTAATTTCATTTTCCGCAGCAGACTTGAAGCATGTATTATCCGAATGTTTACCTCCATTGTGCTTTTAATATATTGCAGATTAGTTAAAACTGATCCAAGAATGTCACTACTTCTGCATTGTTTTTAAATTTTGCGACGACACGTTTTCGTATCAGGTTGGTCTGTGAGGCTACGAATCGCTATTTTATATTATGATTCGTTAAGATTGATAGTGTAGATGGAGATTGACAAAAACTGGTATTACAAAAATTCTAATTGCAGTCTGGTCTTGGTAATCAAAGGGTTGGGGCCAAACTAAAGAATTAGTGAGGGTAGTCGGAGGGCACTTGATACTAGCAAATTGCGATCCTTAGTTATTTGAATTCATTTTTTTTAACTTGAACTACAAGTCATTCCTTTTTGTCCCGGTGAAGTGCGTGCCGATGCCAACATGTCGTAATTCAAATTAAAACCTCCAGAAATTATGAGCTGGCCATAAACTGCCGGAATATATCTTCAAAGTACTCAAAAGTTTGTCTTTCTCCATATATTTGTTTGTAATAAACGCGTTTTTAAAGCACTTCAAATTGAACTTTTCCCTCTTCAAGCAAATGGATGAATGCTTACCTATGTATCGACATAACGACAGACCTACATTTTAATCCGTATTGCAGATATTTTCATATTGATTTTGAAAGTAATTTAACAACTAGTCACCGGGACTCCAAACACAAATCGCAATTACTATGTCAAGTCGTCAAGTCCCTTGTTTTGTCGCTTGATTGGACAAGATTATCACGTGATAAAGCGTACCGTTTTAGTTTTGCCTCGTAAGGGACATTTTTTAGATTATACATTGCAAATTGCGAAACCTGCAGGCGCGTGATCAAGCCTGGCTCAAATTAACGTCACAAGTTTTCGTTAGCAATGGAAAGCTGTTGCGGGTGGTTGTGATTTAGTCCAGTGAAAACCACGAAGAGGGTAAGTCCGTAGCGATGAGTTTCGTAGGTCCCCTACTGCCGGCTAGCACGCTGCACAGTTAGGAAAAAAGTGCTGCGTCAGCATTTAGCTGTGGCTCGAGTTCAATCTGTGAGAATATAAGTGAATGTTCACCCTGCTTTTCAGGTGGCGTTCTCTCAGGGACCCGACAAAAACATTAAAAATGCGCAGGGCTAAAAAAAAAAAAAAAAAACTGCCGTTGTTGTGATTACTTTTTTTGCGTAGGATTCGTTATATCATTGCCGTAACGGCGCGATTTTGTGCGCCAAGGAGTCGCCGTATAAGCAGACATCGAACCGCGGCTCTAAGCGATGGTAATTTGGTGGACAGTGGGGGCGACGAGCGCAGCAGCCGTTACGCGTCGGACCCGTATGCGCAGCATCGTCGGAGCTCATCAGCTTACGACTGAGCGTTGCTTATGCAAACCAAACTGTACAAATTATAGGCGACAAAACCTGAAACTCGAGTTATGAAGGGTTCGCGTGATGAGCTTGATGACATCATCCCATTAGGGCGACAAACCCCGAAACGCTGTTCCCACGTGCGTTAAAGGAACCTTGTTATACTCCGTTTGCCTTGCGATCGACCACCGTGGACGTTACGAGCCATCGAAGTTATGAGTGAGTGTTATAAGTGTGTGTTATAAGTGTGTTAAATAGGAGTGTGTTAAATGAGTGTTATAAGACGTACCGGAGTGGCGCGGTGACTGGTGGGAGGAAGTCAAGGGAAACGCTCGCAGGTGGATTATATAAGGCTGCTCAAGATCTCGCTGCGATCCCTCATGAGGTGAAACGGATGAAAGAGCACTTTTTATCACTGAGCGCCACAGGCTGCTCAGAAAAGAGCATGGTTCTGAAGAAAATAGTTTCGCAAAAGTTTAATCGGCTCTTCAGAACAGTTTTTTTTTTTCTTAGTTTTCCGAGTAAAGATT